GACGGACAAGCTGCCTGACTGGCCTCTTACAATACGCGACGGCGTCCCGTGGAAAACCTCACTTTATAAACAAAAGAGACCAGAATCAACATTCATTTTTATTACGTGTGGGGTTTCCTCTGGGGCGTGGGGTGGGATCCTGACAGCAGTTGCTTCAATGCGGTGGTTGTAAGCCCCGCCCCAAATTTTGAGCAGAAGTCGCTGGCTCAGGGTTGTCTTTCGGGTCTCGAAGATTTTATTAAGGCCGTCGCGAGCTCCGGTCATCTCATTCCTAGTTACGAGCAATTAAAATTTCCAAAAGTCTTGTTTTATAATTACGACCACTGAGTAGTCCTTCATGGCCAAATTCTGACCAGTTCACACACTCACAATTTGGCATCTACTTTAATATTATCCTCCCATCCAAATCTCTTAAGCGGGCTGGTCCCTTGATTCGCTTCGATTTTATCACCGAAATAAAACAGGCCTGTGCCAAACCAACGAAGATGGCCTCTTTAGAGGTCCTTGCTGCCTCCATCATCAGGGCGATGAGAACCTGACGTCTCGCGTACATTATTTATTATGTTATTATTATTATTATTATTATACTTTGTCCCTTGTGGCGTATAAAGTAAGTGGTTTCTAATAAGCTAATGAAGATTAAAGTTACTTGGGGCGTTGAATTAAAGAAACATTTGCAACATCGTTTTATAAAAACGTGTTCAATTATTTTATGGTTATGTTTAAAGTTGTAATTTGGTTTTTACGCTATTTGCATATAGCAGAAAGTTCGTTTTGTCGTGTAATTCACTGACAGACGTGTGTGCCCTGTTCTGAAAGAATTATTACTGACATGACACGAGGAACTTTTTTTTTTCCAACATTTAATTAATCATTAAGTTCAAACCTCCCTGCATTATATTCACGTTTGTTTTTCTTCTTTATAAATTAATCATGAATGACATGTGACGAGGATAAAAGCGCCGACTGACAAGAATTTATCGTGGAAGCATCATGACAGTTCTTTATCGCATGGGAGAGGCGGCCACTTGAAAATGGCTCTCTGCATTTCGCTGGTGATTTATAATACGTATAATAATAATTTTCGTAGAAACGACACGTTGTCCACTGCGAGGTTATTGGCGTCGGTAGAAAGTTAGGATGGTGCCAGATCTGAATGCGGTTAAGACGCAGAGAGTCTAAAGAAAATAGTCTAGTTGTGAATTAATAAAAGAGAAAATCTAGTACTTTCTGGATTTCCTGTGATTCTTAGAATAAACAGCGATTAAATCCTTAAACAGCGTTAACCAGTTGATCTTCGTAATGGTGAAGAGTTGTGTTTTCTTCGCGGTACGGACTGGATTCTTAAATGTTACGTAGACGAGTTTCGGCTTCAAATGGTTAACAGGTCGATCTTTTTAATGGTGAAGTCTTGTGTTTTCTTCGCGGTACGGGCTGTATTCTTAAATATTATTCACCTCGCGTTGCGCGAGTGCATCCGACACCAGAGTGTACGGAGGACAGAACTGTCAACGAGACTGATTTATTTTGTTTTTCTACGAATTATAAACTAATTCACTTGTTATTATACTTTGAGAGGATAAGTACGGCATGCTTAGGAAAGATGAGAAATACATACAACATTTCAATCGAACTACCTGAAGTAAATATGCTGCTATTTGGGAGACTTTACTTAGATGGGATAATATTAAAATAGATCAAGTTGCTCGGGATAGAGTTCTTAATAATATACTTGCGGCTTCAATAAGAGACGGGGTATTTTTTGAGTGGCTGAGCTACTTTCAGCTTCTCTGCTCAATGGCTTTAATACCCTGGCTTAGTTATTTGTCGTATTAAGTTTGCAGCTGATGTTAATAACAATAAATTATTTTATGAGTACGTAGAAAAGGGCGTACACGCATTGCTTATGATCTCTTTAGCTCAGGTACTAGGCGTTCTTTACTTGCATCGTGTTATAACGTAATGTCCGTCCGCCATATCATTCGACACTTTTACCTTACTGTAACAAATTTCTTGCAGACCTTTTAACAAAATATGAATACAATTAAACTTTTCTTTCAATATATGCCATTTGATAATCTCGAACGAAAATTAATGGAATCGTGAGATAATGTTTATTTTAGAAATACTAATTCTTTGTTTTGCATCATTCGGAAAACGTGGGGATGTGCTCCTAATGCAATAGTCAGTTTACGGCAATGACGACTCTGGTAGCAAGAATGCAGACGAGGCTATGGTGGCACCTATTGCGGGGTCTGGCGAAGTCTCGTATAAGTTGACCGAGATTTCAGAGGCGTGTGCTGCCTCCATCATAAGGGCGATGAATTATCGCTCTTAAGTGTCACAGTTTTCATCTCAGGTTTGTAGGGATGATGAGCATTTATTTTTAATGTTAAGATGGAGGAATTCTGTTTCGACATTCAACTCTTGAGTTCGTCTAAAACATGAACATCGGGGTCTTGCAAATTTTGGGATCAAAGTGTCAAAAGTCAAAGGAATGCCACAAATACGGCTTTGTGTTAAAATGACGTACACAAATAATTACCACTTTAAAGCTTTTGAGAGTTCTTAAGAAGCCGTTCGGCTATTTTTAGTGCATCGAGGGCAATGTTATGAAATATAGTACAGTGCTCCTGATTCTTCGAGAAGTCACGCGAGATTTATGGGAGAGAATATTTCGGAAGTTGGAACTAAGAACAAATGAGTTGTTCAAGAAATTTTTTGAAGATGGCTGGCCCTGATGACGGAGGCAGCAGGCACCTCTTAAACGTCGGTAAATTTTTACCAGACTACACGGCGCAACAACCCAGAAGACCGCCATCTACGTAATTTTATTTTGAAAGCGATTACGTTGAAGACCGAGAAAATGGAAAAGAAGGACAATCTGAAGTTAAAATAAGTGAGGAGACGTGGTGGGTTGATGTGTTTTTTCGGGTTCTGATTCAAGGCGAATGGACGTCATAATACCGCGGATGTGCCATTCGCGGCCTCTGATTGGAAGTTGCCTCGCCCGTGGGGCCATAAGCTGCAGCGGAGTGAGGTCTATATTCGACGGGGAAAAAATTTTGTGTCTGCGAGCAGAAGTACTGTCCACAGATCACGAGAAAATCCCTGTAAGGGGAAGTCGTTTCCGGTCGGTGCGGGGGGAATGTTTACTGCCTGGTGGACTAGAGGGCTGCTATTGGTGGGAAGTGTGATACGTCAGAGTTTTACGCTACTACACAGACTGGAAACATCAAGCAGTTGAGACCAGCGTGTAGTGAGTGCACCTCTAATGTGTTGCGATAATATTCTAGATTAAATCGCTGTGCCTCTGTGAGGTAATCTTAAATCTGTACCCATTAGAACACATGAAAGCCTGTCGTCTGTTGTTCGTTCAGTGGTTGTGGAACGAATGCTTTTAGGATGGGTCGTCACTCACCGCGAAATCTTGCGCATGCGCGTATATCGAATTCCTAGCAGGGATTTTCTCCTGATCTGTGGACTGTGCGCGGTGGCCCTGTGACAATTTATGTTTTTGTTTAGAGTACCGTTTTCTTTTTTGTTGTTGTTGTTGTTGTTGTATTAACTTGGTATCCGACTGCTTTAACGTTGTCACCGTCGCCATGTTTGTATTTCTAAATGTACGAATAAATGTTTCACACAGAACTTGTGGGTGCTTATGTGATGTATCTGTGCACCTGGTCGACTCCCTGTGTTACTCCGCAGCAATAGACGGCAGATTGGATGGAAAAGACCCACTAATTGAGATCAAAGGAACACCGCCAACTGCGCCCTGGGGCTCCACCATTATTATCTGGCAATGTCGTACTTTTGTTAGGTCTTCAGCGCTACTCACTCTAGGAATATTGTATTTTTCTTTAACTTTTATCGTGAAATGACAATTGGGTACGTGGTTTCTGCTGGCATTAACAATCGACGCTGTACAAAATGAGAATGTTCTCCCAGTCTTTTTGTGCGATTGTTAAAGTCATTTCTCGAATCCATCTACAGAGAACGCTAGTGAAGTGGTTTTAGAATGGGAACCATTATATAACAATGAGTCATTTTGTGAAAGTATTTCCTAATTATGAACAATTATGTTGAGAAGCTAATAGTAGTTAACCTATTCATGTTTGTTTCGGAAGTTCTCATCTTACCACAGCCAGAGGCATGAGATAAGGCTAAAATACGTCAGACAGTTTTGTTTATTGATCTCTAAGGAAACAGAAACAAAGCCCGAGGACGTATGATAGGTTATGTACAGAAAGCTAATTATCAAGGGTTTGTACCTACTTGTCGTAACCTTCCCTCGTGGATTGCGTCAAATCCCGTATGATTTGTTCCAGAGGTAATATTTTGTGACGGTGATGCAATCGTAGCGTTGACGTCATGTCCACAACACGTCACCAACAACAATCCAGTTGCAAATAGGATTGGTCCCAGTCTTCGGAATCCATCCAACAGCCCAGATACTGCCCACGGCAGCTTGGATTCTTCTCTTATCGGCATATTGTAGTTTAAAATTCTTACACATGAACGGCTTTGCTGTTTGTGCCGAGTTCGAACGGAATTCGAAATTAAAAAGCATTTGAGGGGACATGGATGAGTGGTGGATAGTGTGATGGTTCAGTGTTACGGAGATAGAATCACAAATGTCATGCAAGTTCTTAACTTGTGTTATTTGTGCGTGTCTAAAGAAAATAATGGCACAAATTGTTTTCCCAATTATTTGTTATAACCAGGATCTGGTTCTGGTATGAGACTTCATGTTACCTTATTTTCGACCTTCAAAACTTTGCTTAGTCCCTCTGTAAATTTCCGCATCTTTGTAACATACGTGTAGCTACAATTTACGGTTACATTTATGTGGTAAAACAAAGTATTTGTAATGCTACGTGAAATGTGCAATACAGTTTCGTATATATTTTCACACTTTACTATGTATCATTGCCGCTCACTTAAAATGATCGTACCTGTAATTTTCATGTTCTAAATATCCGATTTTATAGCAGTCAAATTTAATTCTACGCGGGCCATTCCATTTACATATTTATTACGTGCTGACACAAACTGTGTTGTTTTGTGGTCATTTTTCTCGCCACTCGTAGCAAATAAAAAAAACTGATACGTACGAAAGTTTGTAGAACTTACACGCACACACGCACCCGAGACCGATTTGTCTGCCGTACAGCACGCACTTCCGACTAAGAGTGGCGCAGTGCGTGTCAGAGAAAGAGAGGAACAAGGAACCCCCCCCCCTCCCTCGCTCTCGACCATCAATCCTATTGCTTATTCTTCTTCTTCTTCTTCTTCCCCATCGTCTATTATAGGATCCTCTCACTCTGAACTCCATCCCTTTGAAGTCTGCCGCTCGCTCCTGCATTATGGAATGGTACGAGCTTGGCTTTACAACTGCTCAACATCTAGACATTGGCCCCGTCACACGATGCTCAGACGGAGGGAACAAGGCGAAGTGGCCACTTGTTATCCGTTCATCTCCACCCACGTTTGTGTGAAATTTCTAAGACATGAAAGGGGTATTGGCAAGTAATTCTTGACAAAATGTCTGTTGTCTAACTTGCTAGCTGCTAGCGAGAGACCGAACGAAATTTGTTAGCAGTGGTCGGCCTTCTTCTAGGTCCGGTGTAAGATTACCTGTGTAACAAGCAACGCTCCTGGTAAGAAAAAGCAGATTTATTCACAACAGGCGTAAATCAAAAGGATTTCCGACGTTGTGTCACGTCACTTTGGAAAAGGCAGATTTATTCACAACAGGCGTAAAAAAAAAAAAAGATTTCCGACGTTGTGTCACGTCACTTTCTTAATCTCAACTCTACGTCGTTTTGCTGTAAGATTGTGACACACGAAATATCTGTGATGTGCCGCTTGTCGTCTTTGTAATAGGCGATATTTTTTTGGTCTCTCTGTAGTCTGCTACAGCCAGACCGACGTTTCGGAGGTGCTTACTGCCGTCGTCATTAGGATGCAACGTACCAGAAGACTGTCATTTTTGCATTCGTCGCCTTGAGAACCCGAAATATCATCAAGATTTCCATTCTGGAAACCTTCACAGCAGAAATTTGTATCCTCCCCCCCCGGACAGATGCAGTGTCACTCATTACCCCCCCTTATTCTCCCGAACTCAGCTGTGAAGGGTTAACAAGTAGAAACATTGAGATCCGCATAGAACTTGTAATAAGCTGGTTTTACATCACGACTTTTAAATACCAGAGTCTTCGTTAGTTACAAATTGGAAAGGAGAAGTGTTCCACTAATCGCCTGGAGGAACAGAGTAATACCACGAAACCATAACATGACAAGGTGAACGCATTGCACGAACCAACTATCTGGTAGGCTACTTGAAGAAATTCCATTCTTGTAACTTCCAGATCTAAGGAAGCAGGAGTTACAGGAAAATGGAGATCTGTTTATATATTTATTGAGTTCTTATCGGAAACTGATTGTTGACGCAACAGCATAATTCAAAGATCCTTGACTTTGTATTACAAAGTGATTGTTAAATGCAAGGTACTTTTGTTGGGCTTAGCGATAAAAACATGTTTAATTACTACTTTAGAATTTATTACTGACGGATAATTTTTTAGTAATCACATATTCAGGAGCTTCACAATTTGTACTCCTGGCATATTATTGCATAGAGACATTAATCTAGCATAGTGACTGGTTACGAATTGGAAGACCAGGGTTCGTTTCCTCTCAGAGACAGGAATTCTTCTCTTCAAATCGATTTTTAAGCCCAACCATATAGGGAGAGCAGCCGGAACTTAACCTCAATCTAGTGCCCAGAATGATACGTGGAGCTATATTTTTCCCCCCATAAGTCTGCTTAATTAAGAGCAGAGATGGCTTTAATTTTATTTAGGACTGTCAGGGTGATTAAACATGGGTGAATCTATACGTGCTCGACATTAAACTACTACTTATTGCACGTTGCCATTGATTAGCAACAAGAGTATTAGATTTGTATTTTTCTTTTTAATAGATTTTCCTGTTTTCATGACTTATGACCGAGTTTGATTAATCTAACCTCGTCATGCGAGATTTGAAGTTCCCACTAATGTCCTCAACATGAGTATAGTTCTACTCTATACTGAATTCGATTACCTTTGTCCGTCCAGTGGCATCGTCGCGGGAGGTTCTTATTATAATCACATGTTGGTATACCTCATCGTATTTGTAACTCCGGTGTGAGGTATTAAATCATACATAATGCTTGATTCCGACGAAGAACGGTTTACATACTGTCAAGATGCAGGACCACTGAAGCTTGATTGGCAAGTATCCGAACGTAATTTGTAAATAGTCTTAATGTAACAGCTGTCTAACATTTTTTAATCGACGTCAAGTTCTCAAATAATCCATTGCTAGAAATGCGTGCATGACACTAGAATGCTTTAAGAATCACGTAGCACTGAAAGGTTCTAACTATGGGGCATTATATTCAGTATTGCTTGTTTTCTGAACTTCGCCTGTCGTTTAATATTTTAAACAAGGCACTCCGTTTCGGTAGCTGCCCTTGCTTCCGTCCTCAGGTGAAAATCCTATTCTGGCAGGTCTGATAGAACGGGTTAATCCAATGCTAATCCAGTGATTAGCCCCCCTTTCTGATGACAGAGACAGATCAGTCTCTGATACATTATGGTTTGTAACAAATAATCACGATGATGGACATTATCCAAAGCAATAGTCAAGTTGGTTGCAATGCTGCTGTCAGAATGCTTATGTCTTATTTTTTTATGTTCAGCAAGTAAAGTAAAATTTCAGTAAAACCATAGTTGTGACTCACTTTCTGCCCTCTGTAGTCTTAGACTGAAATATGCTGCCCCTGGAGCGTTATCTGTAATTTCCACTTACAAATTATCATAGTGATAGACGCATTCTAATACATGTACTTTTTACTTCTATAGGATGCAGTTTTCTATTGCAGGCCATGAATATTCTATTGCTGTTGGTGAACTTCCTGGCAGGAAATATAAGCATTGTTGGAGGAATTTACAAAATGATTTAGGTATGACAGTGGGTTCGTGCATAGATGGTCATAGGATAAAATCCTACTTAGATCTTTTATTTTAAATTTCATGCATAAATAGTGGTGTGACCTTGTGAACATGTAAACAAAAATTTTGCTTCCAGTACAGGAACGTTCTTGACTAGCTGTGCAACTGTTAGATTCTCAAGGATGATTCAGCTACATGAAGTTATAACATACGGTGAACAGAGACAAACTAATTCAGGATTTGAAATAGAATGTGTGATAATATCTGTATTTTGAAGTTTACGCTGTTCATCCTAAGAAAAGTAATGGTTTGTTTATATTGGTGAATATAATATTAACTTTTTAAAGTAATTTTTGACTGGGTTTATTTTATTTTCTTATGTGATCAGGCTATTATTTTTGGTGAAAGAAAATGTGGCTTAAAGAGTGGGCACTTCTTTCTTCAGCTGACCTGAAAGCTGCTGGCATTAGTCACATATACTGTCTGTGCAGACATGAGGACCTTGTGAGGTACAGAGTACCACGTTTACTTCAGGATTACACCAGTCATGGCTTCAGCCTTCACCATTATCCTGTTCATGATGGCGGTATACCAGATATCGACCAGCTGATGATGATACTCAAAGACATTAAAACTGTTTTAGAACGTGGAAATAAGGCATTTATTCAGTTAGTAGTTTAATTTTTTATGCATGATGGAGTTAATTGGGTAACTGCTTACAGATTATTGTCTGAAAGAGAGGAGTGGGAGGCGCCTCGTGTGGTAGTGAATTGAAATGTATGGATGGATTGATGTAACTTCCAGTTATGCATTAGTTTTTTGCACTAAGTGCAAATAATGCATAAATGTTAAGGGATATAAATAAGCACTTGCAGTTGACGCCGAGTTTTTTGGTTCCGTCGTTTGTTTATCGACACTAGACACTTGTTAGTAGCTCATACTAATAGACTTGCTATATAGATATGAAGATTTGTCAAATTTATAAACATGACTGAATCAGGAAACATTCACAATAAGATGATAAAAACTTTGAAGAAAGAATAGGGTTCCTCGAGAGCCATGATAGCTGCAAAACCTCTTTTTCTCATAGATGCGATGAGAAAAATTCCTTGACTTTTAAAAATTTATTAGCAGCTTTTAAGATGTAAGATTTCAGGTTTTCACGGCGGTGAGTATGAAGATTTCTGTCTTCTGGGTTGTTGCGCTGTGTAGTCTGGTCGATGTTAACCAACGTTACGGAGGCAGTATGACCTCTGAAACGTTGGTTAACATCGACCAGACTACACAGCGCAACAACCCAGAAGACAGAAATCTTCAGTTTTTAAGATCTTGAATTCCCCACTTAAAATCACAGGAATGGACATCTAAGCCATACACAATTTATTTTAACATTTCCTCCAGCTTGAGAAACAACACATGGAATATGTACCTTCCACTGAACACGGAAGAATTGATTTTATAGGATATTCTGTATAACAATGGGCACATGTTAAAGCAGACGTGTAATTAGAGCCGCCATTTTGTATAAATGACATTGATACAATATATATTGTTGACTTCCACAGCTGTTTTGGTGGATTAGGAAGTAGTTGTGTGGTCACCACATGCCTTGCCATGTACTGTGATGAAACACTTACATCGTCTGATACCATCAGCACCATTAGAACGTTAAGAGGTCCAAGAGCGGTACAAACTGTTAAGGTATAAAATAATTTTACTTTTGTTCTTATACTTGCAGAAAGTACCACATTTTTCATAGAAACTTGTAATTATGAAAATAAGCATATTTACAAAGGCGTTTGTGTGTGTGGTACCTTTACAGCAATATAATTTCATCAATGACTTCAAGGAACTTCGAAGAGAGCACATCACTTTAAATCTAGCGCGAAGATTATCAAGATAGCAACAGAGCAAGAGTTACTGGTCCGCAGTGTATTACATTTCTTAATGAAATGTAAAAATTATATAGGTAAATAATTATTTCATTTCAGAATAATACTAAATCTGCTTTAGAAAATTATTAAATAACAGTGAATTTTGAAATGCAGAAGGTGGCTTTAATTTGTGGTGTTTTTCTTTTCTTTTAACTTCTCTGAGTGATTGGCTGCTTTCAGACAGACACAGCATCAAGAAACCAAAATGTAGGAAGCTAGAGATGGCGGATTGCTTGTTAAAGTATTAATTCCATGAAGCAGTCCTTCTTGAGAAGCTAACAGTACTCAGTCACAAAACTCCCAACATTTCACGGAACCTGAAGGTTCTATATGTCACCATCAGTGGGCTAGTGGTTAGCGTGCTCGCCGCTGGACCCAAGGTTCACTGGCTCAAACCTGGCCGAGGCCGATGAATTTTAAAGGGTGATAAAAATCTGTAGCACATACAGAAAATGAACTAAATCACAAAGGGTTTTTGTAGCTAATGTCCACATTTCAAAAAAGGTGATTGCTTTTCAAAATGAGGTTTGCTACCATTTTACATATTATTCTTAATAAAGTTGTCACATTGACTGTTGATTTCAAGATACAGTTTTAATCATAAAATACTAAATAAATATTACAGTAATTGCTTGTAGATGTCAATATTTCTCATAAATGCATTTATAAGTTTTCAGATACCAACATAAGTCATGGTTTGGTGAGAAGATTGTCTTTGGTAACATTGGATTTAAGCGAGAAGAATTTATTATACTTAGTTGCAGTGAAAGCTTCAGATCATTTATTGTTATTGTTATTATTTTATCAACAAATGCATGGATTCAGTAAGAGGAATGTATCTGTCATAATCACAAAAGATAATTACCTTTGTATCGTTATGTGTGCTATTGCCAGAATAATATCATCAATGTTATGTATAAAATGTATTGAAAGTATGCACATTATCAAATATTTGATTACTTGCAAGGTGAATGAACATTAAATAAAAATCACTTGTTTACAATATGAAGTGATTGTCATTTGTAAGTTAATATATGCCACTTAGATGTATGAACTTGTGGGAAATTTTTTGTTGCACTGTTAGTCATGGTAATGTCTTTTTGTGCTGTAAAGGGAACTTAATATACAAGCATGCCATCTGCCTACATTTACAATCAGCCTGGCTTCTTTCTTAAAATTATATTTACCACAGCTCATCAACCGTATTGTTTTTATGTACAATCGAAAGCTGTCTGTACTTCAAAGTTGGAATATAAGTGACATGGGACACTGCACAAAAAAAACAGGTCCCATTCAATTTTGTAGAAGCAGTATGAAAATTTTGGTTCTCACAGCGGTGAAAATGTTGGTCTTCTGGGTTGTGACGCCACGTGGATTTTTACATAGATACGAGCACACAATGACGTTACAACGCAGAATACGAACTTCATAAATACTTGATCTTATACAATAAATTTTCATGTAACTTTGAATTACCAAAAATTCTGTGAACACAGCACTGACATTTGCAATTCAGATTTACTGTTCTTCACTGATTATCATCTACCTGACATATACTGTACGCCTATTTATCATACACTAAGAGGTTTTTCCAATTTTATTTTCATTAAAACAGTCATTACATATGCAAAAAAATAAATAAATAAAATTCAGTGATGTCTATGAACACAAATATCTGGCTACTCTGGAATATGGTTCAAATTTGCACATCCATAGAATACAAATCAGCAATATTTGGTACTGAAACTTGCACACAGTTAATGTTTGGAGTTGTGGCTTTGCTTCTGAAGTACATATCTTAATGGTGCATCATCCATCAGACTAAATCTGTATGTTCGAATGTATATTTTACTACGCTACCCAAGAGAAATATTCTTATATCAATGCTCCATTGATGTGCAAGTTACATAAAATGGGAAATTATAAAGATATAGTATTGGGGGTAACACTTAATCTTTGTGTAAGAGAACTGCATTTAACCGCAGTTAAATTGTTTTTCTTTAATCATGTTTACAGAATCTAAAATCCTTATTCAAACAGATACAAAATATATTTTAATTAACATCATACTCTGACTACAGTATGTCACCTACACCTTTTAAATATCTATGTTGCCCCAACTCACAAAATCTATTTTGAACTGCCTGCCCCATTACTCTCATATAGCGATTAACCAACCTCAGAAAAAAAACTATGCCAATTTACTAAAATTATAAGGCAGAGCTTCTGCACATACAATAAACAATGGTGATTTTTTCACAATTCTGTATTCTGTCTCTCCGACAAAGATAAGGGTGGTGAAACATGCTTGTACAAAATTACATCAAAGTTGGGTGGAATAATAATTGTCTTTCTTCTTGAAGAAAGTCTATTAATAATACATTTTCATGTAAATAAATTACACATAGATTTATGGCATAGTTTTAGAGTTTCATTCAATGGAATTTCAGACTTGCAACAAAACTGTAGAATGTACCACCAGCTGCATAGTACGCCATACATCCTGTAGCCACCATAATGCAGTATCCTGGCAGAAGTGACGCCACATACAGTTCATCCTGATTGAACAATGTTAAACATGAAACTATCATGTGAGTACCGAGTACCCATGCAATATATATATAGTTCCTGTTATCCATTGCAGAAAAAAATATAACACTCCAGAATGTGTGAAGCAGGATGAAGCAAAGAGCGGTGGCCGCTGAAGTGAGGAAAAACAGATCAGACCCATCCTTAAGACCCATTGTTGCAGGACCTGTAATAATACCAAATTTATGGCATAAAGTGGTTCGCATCCTTCGCACAGATACATTGTAAATGTACCTGGATATCATTTTTTGGGGGCGTGATCTTTGGAATATTACTTATGAGTGAAATATAATAATAGTTATCTGTGTTTTGAGTTCCATGTGAAATGCACTTCATGGTTTACTTAATGACGTTACCAAAGGCTGAAATTTTTGGTGTCAGATGGTAGGATGATTAATTGTGAAGGATGTGGAAGGGTTGCACGCTAATTTAAGATACTATCCTGGCACTTTACTGGAATGGTGAGGAAAATCGTGAAAAACATAAAGATAGCCAGCCTTCGAGCTAAGAGATGAACTTGAGAGTCCTGAACACAAGACAGGCGTACTAACCGCTTGACATCAATGTTCCGTTTATCTTTTTAAAGATCAGGACATGCTAAGCTGTCAACCCCTTGCACAGGAAGTTTGAATGCCCTCACACTCATTAAGGATACAACTCTGGGCCTTTTCATTCTGCCGTTTTGTAACGCTGCCCTTGTCACAAATATAAAAGTGTATGTTAATAAAAGCTAGTTACAGCTGGTGCTTGTCAGATCTCTGCTGACATTGCTACTAATCTTTCTTAATTCTTGTGGATTACCTGCAAGTAATTTAATCCCCCTTAAACAAGAGTAATGAGTCATGCACAGTTATAAATTTTGACTATTTGGCCATACCTATTGGATTCTCTGTCTCCTGTACTGTAAACACCACACATTTTCATACTCCACATATGGGAATATAATGTAGGATATTTATGAAAATATTACTATACTTAGTAAGAACCATCATCAATAAAACTGAGGTAACTTTAAATGGTACTCATGTAAAATTATGCTGAGAATATTCTTTTGTCTGTTCAGAAATTGAGTGAGATTCAAAACTCATCAATGACTGGTAACCTTCAACCAAAGCTGCCATCCTTCAATAATCATAAGAATTGATTTCACCATAATAAACTATAAAAAGTATGATTCGTCATCACAAAAGGAATAGGGATGACATAGTGGATAAGCTAGATGGGGGTGGACACTTGGCAGAGGAACTCACTGCAGATACAATTTAACTCTGTGGTACTTGCTCCTCTAAGGAATAGGTGATTTATGATATGAATACAAAAGCTGTAACTCACCTACAGCATCAGCTAGTACATTGACTAAGGAGAAAGCTCCACTGATGATTCCAAACCCCAATCCTGCCACATATGCAAGGATATGTTTGTTACCAGTAATTTGTTCAGAGTTATCTGTAACTTTCTTAAGGCCACTTTCAGCTTTCCTGAGAAGCTTGTAAATTAGAAATCTGAAAATTTCTTGCAGAAGTACTGAAAATACAAGGCCAAATACAAGTTTATTTCTTAATGGCACCACAATAAACCACAGAAGTGATGACAATAAAAACGAAAGAAGCCAGAAGAAGGCACCAGCAATTAAAATAATTATTCTGATTGGGTCTTTGGCTATTGTAAACGCAAACATTGCCAGTGGGGGCCCAAATGCCAAGAATGTACAACCAAAGAATTCCATTATCGTCATTGTTGCAAAATCTTGTTCCAACTTTATAAACTTTAACCAGTACTCAGCTATAAAGTATCAGTCTCTTCAACACAACTTTCTTTATCTCTTCTCCGGTGACACACAATTAAAGGAATATAATAATTCAATATATACCGGTTATATCGTGTTGGCAGACCTGTATAGTGGTGACAAACATACGGCTTCACTCTAATTTGTGGTAGTCGTGCATACTGCTGTTGTTTTCTGTGGACTCAGCAGAGACGACTAAATGATGTCTATTGATATCGTGTAATCTTTTGGAGGTTACTTATTGCCCATAAACACTTGGCTGTATTATATTTTTTAAGAAGGTTATGAAGCGAGAAGGGCTGAGGAAACGACGATATGGGAAGGAGATAAATGTATGAAAATGACTGAAGAAAGGGGCAAAGATTAAAGTGTCAAATAAATTACTTTCCATTGAATTTCATGGGGTTCTTATACAGTAATACAAATTGTGTGCCTGTGATATGAGATGAAAATTTTCCATATACCTGGACACCCAAGTGATTACTGTAGTAGCAGGTACTGTGCTTTAAATGTTATATGTGACAACAATTAGTAACAGATTTTATACCAGTGTCTAACTTTGTGTTTTTATGATTGGTCACTTGAATTTTGTTATTCTCTGTGTATGGATTATAGAATTGTATATATTCTCTTTTTTGAAGTTAGATTTTACTTCACCTACTAAAGTTCATTGTGATTCAACAGGAGTGCATGATGCCACCAAAAGGTAGAAAGTCCATATCCCCATGGAACTTGTGTGAAAACTGTAAAGTGATAGTGTCACAGAAGGACTTGACAACACATGCGGAGGACTCTTGTCCACCATCGTTTGAGTCATGGACTCATGGCTTCATTAAACAAAAAGTTTTGTATGGCATACTGGAAGAAGTAAAACCCCAAGGTAATGTTATTTTAAATAAGACTTCTTGAGTTTTCTTGGTATAATACTTGCATTTTATATTTACATTTTCACTTGTTCCAATTTATGTTTGTTTATGAAATCATAGGAAATAAGAAGCTATGTGTAAAGAATTACAATCTATTCTTTGGTATTGTACGTCATTCCTGCAGATGGTCTGAAGAATGTGCCAAAGTCAGAATGTGACAATCTGGTATTGTTAGCACAGTCCGCTTTGCAGCTGTGTGACGTTAGTATTGGTGATCCTGTTATAGTCAGTGTTCAGGGTGTCTCCACTGTCAAGACAGCATGGCCAACGCTAGAAAAGAGTCTTGTTTCTGTTCTCATGACCAAATCAGGTAAGTTCTTTTCAGTAGCAAATGTTGGCAAATGCTGGGGTTGACCTAGTGGTCATATCGACCGAGACTGAAATAAAATACGCTGCCTTTGCATTGTCAGTATGTGACTGTTTAGGAAAAATTAGAGGTGGTGCATGACTGTTTAGAAAGTTGGTGTTAGTCAACAATATACTGGTACGCTGCTATAAATTAGAGGTGGTGCATGACAGATTAGAAAGTTGATGTAGTCAACAATATACTGGTACGCTGCTATTAACAAATTTATGGCTAAAAACTCAATGTTTTTATTTCATGAAACATTAACTGTATTGTCAGAAAAACAACTTGCACAACTGTCTGATACAATTTACAATAAATGTTCTATAAAAAATTCAGCCAAACTCGTAAGGTAGTTTGTGGATGGACATTAATGAGTTTTTTCATGACATTTTTAATGCACTTAAAAATTATATTTTGTTATATGTTTTCTAGTTTACTGTAAAATAATGATCAAAATACTAAATTCCAGCAATGGATTTGCACTGGGTTAGGAGTTGTGATGGTCATGTGATAGTGAAGAAGTTGACCGAGCACCCTCTTCCAGCTGAGTTAATATCTGTTGAGATGACAGGAGGGCAGAGCATCCCTCACGCAGACCTGTCTGGCCTCCTTCAGGGAAAACACAGAAACAAAGGGCAGAGCATCCCTCACACAGACCTGTCAGGCCTCCTTCAGGGAAAACACAGAAACAGAATCTTGAAAATAGGAGACAGACTGTGTCTGCAACATTATGGCCAAAATCTCTATTTCACCGTGAAACAAATCTGCCCATTTCAAGGTGCGACTGATTTGAAAGACAAACTGGGTAAGATAATAAACAGTCACTCTTGGAGGTGACAGCAATTTAATAGTTTTAATTGAGAACTTAAAAGCAAAATGTCCATTTGACATTGTGCTCTTAGCCTTAATCTTTGTGATTATGATTCAGAATATAAGTAACATAATTGGTGGGTTCTTTTGGATTATGATACTCTTGAGTGTCATGGCATCATAACTCAGAAGACGACAGAGTAAATATTTAGACTTTGTTTAGCAGAGTATTCTGTATTCTATACAGCTAGTCTCTATTTTAGGAATGTCACATCTTGGCAAGAATTCACCAGAAGCTGTCCATGAACTTAATGTGGAATTGAATAATCTAAAATTGTCACAGGACGATGACTGTGGAGATGACGAGAATTTGTATAGAATAGTGGAAGGAACAAAATGGACTGTTGGTTCTGCAGTCAAGAAGGAAAGTTCACAGGATAAACCCAGTTGCAGTTTGGCTTCAGTTGGCGGATTACAGGACGTAATTGAGGAAATTCATGAAATTATCCAACTTGCGTTGAGGAGTTCACCTCTGGTTCAAGGTATGTATTACTTTGGAACTAAGATCTTTCATATGACAATTCCAAAATTTTAGTTCCCCTTAATGCCATTATATGGCAGATACACTGAAATATGACGTATTTCTGGCGAGTTCGTGTTGTCTCCTGAAGTACAATGAACAATAATTCTTGAATCAGTTTTATGTAATAGATGTGTGATTACAACTGCAGTCTAATATAAACATCTGTTTTGTTGACAAAATTTTTTATATCAAATGTGTAAATTATATTAGTGTCTGTGATATTGTGAACGAAATTGGGTTGAAAAAATGTAGTGTGCTACAGACGGGCTAGTTTGCGATAATATCTGTATTGTACTAACATTGTATGGCATGTATGTATTGTCAAACCCATTACATCAGTGTTTATAAGCTGATTTGAGTAATAACTTGTAATGTTTGTTAACTATACTGAATTTTATCAGACTTTGTAAATGATTTATGGATTGGAAGAACTTTTCAACTTTATCTCTTGACAACGCCTGAAAGTTTTAGTTTAGGTCTGTGGTACAAATTGTAATAATCTGCCAGTTGGGGTGAACTGTTTCATATGGGTCTGCTGGCAGAATAAGTTACACTGAAAATGTCCTATTTTTCCAAACGTTACTAAAAGTTCAGTGTCATCCGTTAGGTTTGCCAGTGATTCGAGGTATCTTGCTGTATGGAGTCCCTGGTACAGGAAAGACGATGTTGGCCGAGGCTGTGGCCGCGGAGAGTAACGTTGCCATTGTAAATATTAGTGGTGCAGAAATATACAGCAAATACCTGGGTGAGACAGAGGGCAGACTGCGGCAGCTCTTCAGAACTGCGGAGCAGCAGGCACCCAGCATTGTTTTGTTGGATGAGGTATGGGTGGAAACTGTAAGAATATTATAGTAGAGAATCACATATTTGAAACTTTGTTTCAGTGGTTATTTTCTGCAGCTTGACGTATAAAGTACCTGCGTAGGTAATAGTAGAATGCATTTTGGAACTTGCTCTTCCAGGTTGATGCGTTATGCCCTAGACGAGGCAGCGATGGCAGTGGAGGCTCTGAGCAGGACAAGCGAGTGGTTACAACATTGCTGACTCTGTTAGATGGGTTGCATCATTCCGTATTTAAGGCTGAAGGGAAGAAGAAGAAGGCAGTTCTAGTAATTGCGACAACCAGCAAGCCAGATACTATAGACTCAGCCCTAAGGCGACCTGGCAGGTATATTTAGCTGATGTTAACCATAATGATTGTTGTAATAATGTTTATTTCTTATCACTTTTTAAACATCAGTAAAAGAAGTAATCATATTTGGTTCTGTGGTCTGGGGCTTCCTCACTGGAAATGTTTAACTCACTTATTGTATTTATCTGTGAAAACAGACTAGTTTGAGAAAATTTGTTTCACGATTTGCAGTTATTTAAAGATTGTATTATGAGATGAAATATTTAACAAAAATTTAAATTATCTTTATTAGATTGGGTTTTTTTCTCAGTAAATTTCTTTGTGTGTGTTACATACAGTTGTTTCTTGCACTTGTAATTATTTGAAAAATTTAATTCCTCAGAGTAAGGGTTGAAATGTTATCGCAAGTAACGGTCTGTTTTCAGATTTGACCGAGAAATTGAGATCTGTGTCCCGAGCCCTAGTGCTCGTCTTGATATTCTCCACAAACTTTTGTCCAGAACACCACATAAAGTAACAGAAGATGAGCTAAAGGATGTAGCTCATTCAGCTCATGGGTTTGTAGGAGCTGACTTAGCATCACTTTGCTCTCGTGCAGCTGTACGTGCTATCAAGAGGACTAGTGCAGGTGGAGATGGTTTGTGTGGCAGTGACTCCGTTATTGTCGAAGTGGAGGATTTTATCTGGGCTATGACTCAGGTCAAACCGAGTGCCATGAGAGAAGTCCTCATAGAGGTGCCTAATGTAAGTGTAATTGATAGCAGAAATGTCTTTGGTTACGACCTTTGAATCTTCCTGCTTTATTTTTGCCTGGCAGTGATGAATGAATTTTCTTCTGAGGTGGATGCTCTTAAACAGTGGAAAAATGGTCCATTATTTATTATGTCGTCTGTTTGTGAATGTTGGTATATGTTTATTATCCAACATACAATCTTAAGCAAGCGCTTTTCAAATGACTTCTGCTGTAATGTTGCAGAGGTGTTAAACATTTTACAGGAGTCTGTTGTATTTCTTTTGAAGTACAGCCAGTCGTGTCTCTTTTGTTGTTGTTGGAAAGTCAGCAGTTTTATTCAACTATTTGTTATCTGATACAACATGTCAGCTCGGACCATATTCTTATAGGTACGATGGAGTGACGTTGGTGGCCAACATGAACTGAAGCTTAAGTTGCGTCAGGCCGTGGAGTGGCCGTTGAAACACCCCGAGGTTTTCACTCGACTTGGAATCTCTCCTCCACGAGGTGTTCTTATGTTTGGGCCCCCAGGTTGTTCAAAAACAATGATTGCGAAGGCACTTGCCACTGAGAGTAAACTCAACTTCTTGTCCATAAAGGTAATTGTTACGTACAATTTCAGATTCTAATATTTTAGTGATGTTTTTCTATGGTGATAATTAAATGTTAAGGTGCATCGTACTCTAAGTACTCTGCAAATCAAATTAGCTTTTGTTTAATTTAGCAACAAGAATAATATAAAAACAATTTATTGCGCACTACTCTGTAAATATGGCGATACTCAAACTCATCAGTAAATTTCAGTGTTGATTAACATTTAAACGACAAGCTGCTACGTTGTAATCCTGAGGCCATTTTTCAGTTGCTTATAGAATCTATAATTTATGTACTTTAAGGGCATATGCTGCTGTATTAGTTGAATTATTTGTTTATTAGATTATGCAGTAAATAGTTACCTGATTTTGAATTTTATATTTGGGAAAGGTGCATTAGAAAGTAGTCAGTGCTGTTGGACTGTCCAGTTATTTACTTGAAGGAATAGAAGAAAATCGTGATGGTGGGTCTTCTGGTTGGTTCTCATACCAGATTCTGCAGGGGGTTGTGACAGTCTGAAGGCAAGTTCACTGCCAACTGGTGCAGGTCGCAGGTCAGAGAGTGACTCTAACCATTATCTGTGCCGCTATACACCTTCCTGTTTGGTCTGTCTGTCTTGCATCCCGAGTGCTGGACCCGGTAAGTTGGAAGAATGTCAGCCGTCATGTTGAAACGTTTGAACCTCAGGGCCCAGAGCTGTTCAGCAAGTGGGTTGGTGAGTCAGAGAGGGCGGTACGTGAGGTCTTCCGTAAAGCCAGACAAGTGGCGCCAGCTATTGTTTTTTTTGATGAATTGGATGCTCTGGGAGGAGAGCGAAGTGGATCATCAGGATCTGGGGCTAGCAGTGTTCAAGAGAGGGTTCTGGCTCAGCTACTTACGGAGCTGGATGGAGTGGAGCCCCTGGGAAATGTGACAGTGGTCGGTGCTACTAACAGGCCAGATCGAATTGATAAAGTAAGTAAGGGCTGTGTAATGTTAAGAAAATTGATAAATTAAAGCTTTAATGTGCGTAATGGTTTATCTATATAACGTAATGCACTGATTATTTGTTGTATATGTAAACATTTAATATGTTAGGCTTCATCTTTTATTCTATATAAATTGACGCTAAATATCTATGTTTTTTGGCATACATTGCTCAGCTGTTTATTTTCCCAGGTTTGTATAAGTGGCGTAATAGTTTTCTTAGCGTCCTTCACCTTGTACTAAGGAAAAGTACTTAATGACTGCACAGTGCTATAAGATTTTGTTATATGCAGTATTCAGTTTTAATAAACTGAGACATTTCATCGGGACAGGACAGTACGTGAGTATTAAGAATTCAGATTCTGATTTGGAAAGTTGTTTTTAACAGAAGTAGATACGGGTATCTGCAAATTGAACATTGAATCCTCTTTGGACCTAATTTATGTTATCCTAACAATTTTCTTTGTGTGAACTGAATCGACTATAATTCCAGATTGTTCTTCGATTACAGGCACTGCTGCGGCCAGGCAGGTTGGACCGTGTCGTGTATGTACCGTTGCCAGATGCCAGTACTCGGCAGGAAATCTTAGAAATGCAACTGCGTAAGATGCCAGTAGCTTCTGATGTGAATATTGATGAATTGGTTGGCAGGACTGAGGGTTACTCTGGAGCAGAGGTTGGTTTCACTGTTACTCTTCATTATCAAGAATAGTTTATTGTGTCTATTGACATTGTTAACTGTAAACTATTGGTTGGTTATTTTACAGTGATGTGCTGACTTCTGTGGTTGTTTATTGTCAAATTAAATGTGGTAACATGTTTGCGAGTGATTAATAGATGGTGATGTTGAAGTAGTCGTGGTGTATCTTAAAGGCTTAGAACGATAGACGGTGATGTTGAAGTTGTCGTGGTGTATCTTAAAGGCTTAGAACTAGGCTGTCGTTCCTAATTGTCATTTAGATATGTTACCACTTTGCCGACATGCTTGATTTCTTTGAAGACGTTTGTTGTTGACTCCTGGTTTATGGATGTTGTTTAATTCAAAAAGTTACTGCCTGCTTGGACCAGGCACATTGGCGGTATGTAATCTTCATAATTCTGTAAACGAGAGTTATTCATTGCAGGTCGTAGCTGTTTGTCATGAGGCAGCACTCGCTGCATTAGAAGAAGATTTGAATGCAACTGATGTTACATGCAGCCATTTTATGTCAGCCCTACAGTTGGTCACACCTCGTACACCATCTTCTTTGCTTCAGTTGTATGAGATGTACCTCAAACAGAGCTGAGTTTGTGAGTAGGGATGGTTAAGTTATTTTAAGTAAAAAATTGTTTAGAATGTTCCTCTGACTTTGTGCTTTGAGGAACTTGTATATTGTGAATCTCTTAAGACTAGAGAGGAAGCTGTCTGTGCCATGTTTGAGAAAATTCATCATTATTTTCAGTGTCTGCATTGGATATTACGTTTTGTGAGATGCCACTTCATGAACAAGTGGACAGTCAGAGAATGGTCTCGCATTATTGAACTTCCCGTCATTGCAACTCAAGGAAAATGCTGCCGAGATGGAATAACAGCGTGCTATCTTAGGCCAGTCTTATATATCAGAATGGAAATGTGGGCCCTGTTCAGAACTTGGGGTACATTGGTGCATATGCACTGTGTTGATAAAGTTCTGATATGTAAGATTTCAGGTTCTCAAGGCAGCGAGTATTTTTCATAGTGGCTACAGAGAAATTGTATCTTTTAATTTAATCTCAATGCATCTATTAATAAAAACATTGAAAGTAATTATTTTATAAAAATTACCACAATGTTTAAGACAAATGGTTGTTTGTTAAGTGTTATTTAACCATGTATTATGTGTCAATAAAATGCAGCCCTTACAACCTCCTATCCAGTGGGTATCAGGGTCCCCTTCTTCAGGGTAAAATAGGCAGGGACTATTCGCCTTCAACTAGTACCAAAGTTGTTTGTCACATGTAAAATCTCTGTGATGCTGAAGTGACAATTTACTTATATTGGGTCAGTAATGTCTTAGAGGAGGACTTTGTTGTTGTTGGATACTGTGACTAATGAAATTATTTCCATACTGATGGCCCTTCAGTTAAGGTCATGCTTGTTGCTGGGCCACTGTTCATGCCAGCATCTGTGAACACGAGCAGAATTTGTGTTTATTCTTGAGAGTCTGAGTGAATCGAAGTGTGAAGGATTTGGAATACAATACTGAACAGGCTGTTGCTGTTGTTGATTAGGTGTGGTGGGGATATTTAGCAACTGCTGTATAGCTGTTGTGACGTTTTCCTATAACAAAAATGTCTTGTTACGTTGTCATGAAAGGTTACAAATACCGTTGTTAGGATTTTCATTTAAAAGGAACATTGTAGGAAATGGGAAAGAATGAGTTGATACATGCAAATGTAAGGAAAGTCGTGCTTCAAATCGATTCCAGGGAATTTTAAGTTCGGGGATTTTATTTTTGTAATTCCCGGCATCTACGAACGCTCGTACTCTGTTTTATCATCTGTGCTACTAAAATGTTTGAAATTTATGTGGCATGAAGTAAATGGCGGTCTTGCGAAAGTGGTAATTTATTTAGATTTCAGTGTGACGTCGGGTCTGATGAACCGTTGGAGCTAAGAATATGAAATTTGGTATAGAAGTAAATTGTAAATATACCTACAAACATTGAAATATTATTTAAGACAGTAATTAGAAACATTGCGATATTGTGACACTTTGAGGTTAAGCATGGCAAATTTTACGTAGCAAGAATCGTTGCCTTCTTCCGGAAAGAAATAATCTGCTCATAACCTATTTACAGTTGAAAGTAAAATAACTACCAATTCGATTGTAATTCGGACTGTTGTCGGTTTACATGCTCAACATGTCCATACATACATTGTGTTGCGGGATAAACTTCCATTCCATAAATAAAACATTCACAATCCAAGATTTATAGTACTGGTAATTTGTAGTATGCGGAACTGCTTACATACAATTTTGACATTCAGAATTAAAATCACCATGCCTGATATTGTTATTCATAAAATGAGTATTATTATTAATTATATTCTTTAACTTTCACTAATGTTATATAACTTTGCACAGTTCATTAGATTGGATGTATTTGTTTCACTTCAGAACACATGAGATTTTGAAGTAGCCAGAGGAAGATTAAAGGATGAAATAACTGTATGGCAGCGGGCAGAGCTCTTGAAAGCTTTGATGAAAATGAGTGAGTTCTTGTAATACTGTTAATTCAACTTCTGGTTTGTGTTATTTTGAAACTTAAAATTTTGGAATTAATCATGTTCAAGGTTGATGATGGGCTTCTTTGAATTCAGAATAACTCTTCCTATGTAGGATATCCCTGTGATCAGATGGTTTAGATTAAAAATTGAAGTTATCTATTTGGTTCCATTCACAGATATACCTGACATTAATTATTTTCTTTGGATTTATTCCATGTTAAAAATTTAAAGATTACTGCAATTTATATTATTATGTACACAGTCATAAAAATATAATTGTGTTGTGTGAAAGGAATAGGCAAATGAGAAGTGTTTCATTTACAATCTTTATTGCAACAAAAACATAAATGTTGAGCATTTTACAAATCATTTTCACACTTGTTGCACTCAGACTTGTACATTCACACACAAATGAAAGCTGAAACATTGGCTGACATCCTGAAAGTGTGAACAGCGTAAATTGGTTCTCCTGTTTGTACATAATTACTGAAGTCTTGTAGATTGGTCACAGTGATTTTTTTTTATTTGTCAGAAGAGTTAGAAAATATTCCTTGTTAGCAAAAGTAAATTATATGCAGTCACAGTTAACAACAATAACATTATCTTAATTTTTAAAAGTGGTATGGCAAGAAGATTTTGAGAGTTTTTTCAGTCTCTGATATTAGACATATGTAAATATATATATATACCACTTCGGCATTTAATCAACATTTTATGTAATTATTGTATGATACATTGTAAGAGTAAACATGCAGAGCCTTTTCACCATATGTGCATGGGCACTTGAAATAGTGACTGCACTGTGCTGACCTGTAGCAGCCCAAACTCTGAAAATATTTGTTCGCAGTTTGCAGAAATCCTGAATATACTGTAATTTTCCTTTTTTATGATAGAAAATTTTAGGTATATACACTTTAATCTCTCTGTGCTGGTGTCTTATAAGTCTATAAATAATCATTTATAATGTGTATGTGTTTTTCATCTCGATAATTATGTCTATTTGTAAATATTAGAAGCGTTGGTTGTATGAAAATGCATTTTTTGTGAATGTACATGCATCACTTACAGGTTTAATTTTGATGTATACTTGTTAGCTGAGTGAATTTTCCAAATCTGTTCTCTTGTGAATTTTCAGATCTCGTTGTAACTTAAGACAATGGGCAGAAGATTAAAGTGTTCCAGTTGGAAATCAACAGCTTCTTATCATCAACAGCAGAAGTAAGTGAATTTTATTTTGATGATCTCTTGTTTTTATGCTAGAGGCAGACACGGAATATGAACTTCAAAAAAATCGGGCAAACGTAAACGAGGATATTTCTTTTGCGTTGATTGATTTTTGGTTTGGTCGTTTACTGATTCGTTGATTACTGTGGAATGGAATATGATTTGTGAATAAAAGTCAGAATTACGTGTGTTATTTTGTTTTCAGTAAGGTCTGTTGTAATTTGCGCAACTTGCATTCTCAACATATTAAAGGAAACAAACAGTACAAGAAAAGGTTATCAAAATTTTAACTCGTACTTGTCTCCCTTCTGGCCAACTTCTGTTACTTCTGCCACAGAATTTTAGCATTTTGAAAGAAGCCGTGTCGTCCGTCATGGCCGTAACCTTTAAACTGCTGTTATCCGGACTGAGTGAAGGGCCTGTATGGATACATACCCCCTGTGTAGCGTAGGCATTGTGCGAGAGTAATGTTACTTAGTTTTCGGGATTGTAGACGTCAGTTCCGTCCACCCCAGTTCCTCCAGAATCTCCCAACCATGGATAACGAACTGGACACTCGCGACATGTTACGAGGTACCTGAAACATTACAACATTGGACCCAATATAAGGACAGTCCGGGGAGTGCCTGACATTTTCAGCCTTAGTGCCTTAGTGCCTGTACAATTCTGTATGAAGGGAAATAGTGACATATATAGCTCCTTGTTGACAGCCGGCGTCACTCGTTTGTAAAAATAGAAGGTGCATTCAGTTTATTTGTTGAGGATAAATGACATGTTATGGGAATGAAACTGAAATTTGGAGATGGCTGTCTTCTTGGATGCTGTCTGGTACATACAGACTCCATCATCGGGGCAGATCACCCTTGCACAGTGCAATTTTATGTCTGCTTTGATATCTGCTACTTCTTCCCAGTACTTCCATTGTTTATCTCACATTCAGTGTTGTTGTTGTTTTCCATTTCTTAATTTGTGTTTCTTGTTTCCCTCTCGTCACACTTGCTACTTTATATATTCAATTATTATTGAGCTTGAATGAGATAATTCCAACTAATCAGTCTCTTTAATAAAATCTTATCGGCCCAGCAGCCGCGTCAGTTGTGCCGATGTTTTGAGGGCCGTCTCCGCCCTCATTTTCAAGGCTAGTCAGTCTCTGTTTAAGATTATAGCTAATTTTAATTTTTATTTTTTGAAGTACGATGTTAGTGGAGCTGTAGAATATTAACACTTACCTGGTGGATGAAACATTCGCTTCTGGGGGCCTGAATGATAGGGCGCAGCTGTTGGGCAGGTTGCAGGCTGGAGGTGGGATATTTTGTCTCTTGGCACAGTTCCACGCGTCGAAAGTGTTGAGATTCTTTGCTGACCGCGGATCTGTCATCCACACGAGTGCTTGGGTGATGGTGACGATCCAGACGTCTGGTCTAGAACATTGAAGTATGGGATTCTAGTGCTGCAAGATCTTCAGACTGTCCCTTTAGTGATTTTAAGAATCTTGTACCCCACTTTTAGTTTGAAAGATGAACCTTCGTGCTCCGTGTCTCACGTGCCTTCATGGTATGGATGCTTGAGTACAAAATTAACTTTTTAATCTGTTACTAGAAAATGTGTTATTTTCATTTAATATTTATAATAATAAACTGTATCCTGAGAATTAAAATTGCTTATTTGTTATGAACTGTTTACAAGAAATAACCTTTTCTCTTATAAGAATTTTGTATAACATTGCTTCTTTGATTAAAGAATAGGAGAACACTTAAACCTCCTAAAACATGAAAAAAGTGAACTGTAAGGAACAGTCCTTCAAGAAAGAATATTTTGAACTAAACAGCATTTTACGTTTCAATAATTTGTTATAGATTTTTTTTGTGGTAAGCTTATAGATTGACTCTGTGGATGTTTAATGATTCCTTATCGTCTACGTACGTAATGTAGTGTAAAATTGCAAGATGTTTGTGAGTTAGAATGTGGACGGAAGTGGTCATGGTATATTTTAAAGTACTCTCACAATATTTGCCAGAATCGACCGAGGAATCGCACAGAAACCTTAATCACGATAGCTGGCTGGGATATGAACCTGGAACCTATCAAATTTGAAACAGGAGTTCTCACTACTCCCCTTTGACGGTCAATAACAGAATGAGAGGTGCAAGTACTTATTGTTTTCTTTTGCTGAATGCAACAGCAGTCACTCATTATTAATACACATGATTCTTCCCAGATATAAGCCATTCACCTACGTACTCATTTCTTCTATTTAGGCTTGTTATGGGAACTCCTACGAAGAGGCCTAGGACTGTGCTAACTCTGAAAGCAAAGCTTGACATTATTCAGAGACTGGAGAGAGGACAGACTGCCGCATCCCTCGGGCGTTTATATAATGTAAATGAGTCGAGCATTCGAACTATAAAGAAGAGCGCAGGAAAAATTAGAAGTGCCATAGCTAAATCGTGCTCACTAACAGCAAGAAAGTCATTAAGGGTGAGAAATCCTTTGTTGGAAAGGATGGAAGTGAAGTTGGCAAACTGGTTGACAGATCAGAAAGAGAAGAAAATGGTCGTCAACCCCACTGTCATTCGTGCGAAGGCGCTGAAACTGTACAAACACTTACAGCAAGAAAAGGGGGGCCCTTCAGCTCCTGAGCCCTTCTTGGCAAGCAAAGGTTGGTTTGAAAATTTTAAGAAGCGGCAAAACCAGCGTAACAGTAAGCTGAAGGTCGAAGATGTTGGATCCGTTGGGACCCCAGACTCCCCTGTCGAGTTGAAGACCGAATGCTTGCTGCAGATAGAGCGAGAGGAGGAAAAGGAACGACAAGTTGTTACGCCACAAAACGAGCTTACGACAAAGGGGCTGGCTCATTTCTTCACCCTAGCTGACCAATTGGCCCAGGAAGCGATGGATATGGATCCAAATCTAGAACGTAGTTTACAATTTGGGAGGAATTTGTCATCAGCCGTGGCAGTATATAAAGATATGTACAGAGAGAAGCAGCACACTGTAACTTGATATTTGAAGTTTCCCGTGTCTTCCGCTCTGACTCCATCAAACGTACCAACCACGCACCTTGATTTCCGCTTAGCACATAATTCCTCGATGCCTTTCGACACTGATAGTTGTCTGCAGAATTTTGTTTCTCAGTCGCCACATATTAGCGCTAGTGACACGGATTCTAGTCCCGATGTTCACTCACCGCCATCTTCTCGCAGAAATTGAATTTCCCCTCAACTTATGTGTAATCTATTTTTCCCCGATCAATTATAGGTTTCTGTATATTTCCTAGAAATAATAATATTTGACTTCTTTCAGTCGATGGGTATGAAAACCTAGGGAACAGTAGAAGAGTGATTGAATGGGTATGAACATCAGCCATTTTGCCTTTATCGTATATAATTGAATTTTAATTTGTTTAGCCCGTTATCAAGAAAAATTCGCTGCTCTGCGGAAGGAATTGATTTTCGTTTGATGTGTTAGTAATTTAAATGAACTAAAATTTAATGTGGAAGGTGTGCGAGAATGTTGGGAGAAAATTTGCAGTCTCATTTTCTGAGAAGATCCTGTAATGTGCAGTGCGATACTTTGTGCAGAATAAATGTCTGTTCTTGTGCGATATAAATATGAGACTGGAGAGGTTCAGACTGCAAGAGCGTGTTGAAAAATAATGCCTGGTTTTTTTTTAAAATTTATTTTACTGAAATAGTGATTTTTTATTTTTAAAAAAAACTTTGTACTTTTACAAGTTAGGTATCCTCTTTTTAAAATTTATTTTACTGAAATAATGATGGGTTTTTTTTTTTGTTTTTTGTTTAACTTTGTACTTTTACAAGTTAGGTATCAACATAATCACCTCCGCAGTCCACACACGTCCGTCAGTGTTCGGTCACGAGTCCCTCCGTATAGAACTGTATCTTGACTTTGTTTTTTGGTCTGATAATAATAAAAGTTGGAAATGTTTATGTGACTAATTCTTGAAGAATTGATGATGCAAATCAGCAAGGTAATAGATACAACTGGATTATCAAACTATGGAAGTAATTTGGTTGAAACCCAAGTGTACATTTCCGTTTCTAGACGACGAACTTATTTCAGGCACAGAGTAAACACAGTTTAATGTTGACGCGAATTAATGAAATTAAAAATCAGTTCTGTATGATCGATTTGGAGAAACAGGCCCTTCTTCATAAATTATATAATTTTTTAATAAGCCTTTACCGTCAACCCTGAATATTTTGGATGTGTTAGTACTTACAGTGTTTTGGTCCAGTCAAGGAATTTGTGCAGGCCTCGTTCCAACTCCTTGATCTGGAACCAGTTTGTGTGGAAAGGCATCATATAAGGAGCTCTGTTCTGTAGGTAGTAGCGATTGAAGTCTTCTTGAAGCCATTCAAACACTTCGTCTGGATCGTGGCTGTGAAGGACGCACTGGTCTAGGTATGGGCAATGCCCCCCTTCATAGGTTTCCACATAGTGAGCGTTAAGCGGTACTTCCCATATGCCTGAAGAAAACCTCTGTATGTTACTGCTTGTATTTTTTTAATGTACCAGAATTCAAATTTTGCGTGTCAGGTTGTGGTGATTTATTAGTTATCAACGTCTTATTTTAATTTTTGTAAAATTTGTTTAACTTAATGGAATATGCTTATTTTTCCAAGATTTGTCAGTGCTCGGAATTTGAGTACACTGCGCTGAATTGTTCTGATTTAAATATTAAAGAAAACGTGTTTGCTCGTGACAAAGTATTATAGATAGGTACTCTCTGGATGAGGTCTGCGATAGTACGATATCCATACCAGGTTTCACACGAAGACGTAAATAGATGTTCTTAACCCTTTGAAGCCGAAGCTCGTCTTCATAATATTTACGAATCCAGACCGTACCGCGAAGAAAACACTTCACTTAAACATTAGAAGTCGAATCAGGCGGTACCACATAAGATTTAACATCCCGATCAAAGCCTTAATAGTCTGGAAACATTTTGTAATTAATTCAAGACGTATGCAGGTCAAAGTTCATATACAGAGCCATTTGTGACAAAATTATTTAATCGTGTACCTTGAAAGGTGCGAGAGGGACACGTGCCAGACCGACACTCGTGCGGTATCTTGTAGTCCAGTGTGTAGGGCCAGATCGGGACCTTGAGAGGCGGAATTCCGACCGAACTGTCGTAGATGTAACCAAAGTCTTCGAGCACCTGTTGATTAAACGCTGTCATCAGATAGCGCCCTCATGAGATTATGTGTTATTGATATTTCAGTGCGACATTTTTATGTTTGTCTAAACGGTCTTCTTTTAAATTTTGTGAGCGTTGTGTTCACAAACCTCATATTGTGTGTTGCGTCCGGGTTTAAGGTATGGCGCTCTCATACCGACTACGTCACTTTTCGAGATGTTGGCGAAATGTCTGAGAATCTCTCGCATCCCAATCATCTCTCCGACCCATTCTTCGTATCCCTTATCTTGTAAACCCTGCTGCAATCTTGAACAGGAAAACAAGAGTTTGTTATACCAAGTGCTCCGTGTTTAGTCACGAAATCAGAAATCTGACTTCAACACTCGCTACATTAAAAACTTCTTGAAATGAGTCACATTAAATTAAAGATTATTGATTTTGCACTCGCTACATTAAAAACTGCTTGAATTGACTCACATTAAATTAAAGATTATTGATTTTCAAAGTATCATTTTGTTACTCACATAATAATTTATAATTTTATACGTAAGGAAGAGAAATTATACAAAATGTAGATGGTGATGAAAGTTAAACTTTTTTATTTTAATAAATTTATTTTATAAAGTCAAAGCTTGTGGGATTTAAGGTGTGCAGAATAAATTCCAGTTGTCTTTGATACAGGAAACTTCCTAAATACAAATTATTGTTTCCCTCTTATTTGTATTTCAGACGTTTTTGTTAAGTCACTACGACAGGTTGAACAAGATGGTTGCATTCCTGAAAGTTTCTTGAGATGAGGAAAGAGCTTTTCCACTTACGAAATAGTTTCGGTTCCAATCTCGTGGCCGTCGTGAGCTAACCGCTCGATCATGTGGTAGTTGCTGTATTCATGAGCTACAAAGAATGTGCCTCGTATTGGGCAACCGTTGGGATTTTTCCGGTCGCTTGTAAAAACTCGTTGGTAATGATCAAAGTTGTTGAGATTTATAGCGCCGTCAAATGTCATCAGTATTATCTGAGGAGTCTGGAATGAAATGCATTTCACAGTAATGTATATTTGTACAGAGTTGTGGAATATGATATCTGATGAAATGTCGGCTTATCTTAACTGTAACTGAGGTAAGAAACATGCTTTGCTACCTACATCTTCTGGGTCGAGGTTACCCGGAATGCGTGTTCCGTCTCGGGAACAGAAACAGTAGGGCAGTTCACAGCTGCTCGTGTCACATTTCTTCGCCAGGTCGACTGGAGGCTCTGTGATAGGGGCGGGAGCTTTAACATAACAAGTTTGGTTAATTTCCAATATATTTTGACGTTCATTTTAAAAATTAAAAGACGATTAAAATGAGTGTAACTGTAAAAGCAAGTATTTATCCAAATAAAGGCTCGCCTACATTGAATATACAAAGGTAAATTACAATTAAATTAATTTTTAAGTTGTGTGTGATATTTATTAAAAATCACATACTTATATAATAGTTTCGGTACGATAATCATTCACCATTTTGAAAGAAATCGAGCAGGAAGGAGACTTTCTATCTATCAGCTCATATAAAATTGAAAAACGTGCTAGAAAATATCATAGTCATTGCCCTTTTGTCATATTCGTTTAAACTTCTGTTTGTTAAGTAGGATTTTAGGTTTTCAAGGCGGTTAATCGAACGTTTCAGAGGTCCTTGCTGCCTCGATCATCAGGGCGACGAATTATCGTCCTGATGATGATCTCTCTGTTGTTCTTTTCACATGGCAGGTTAATTCATCGAATAATTGGGCGATATAAAAATACGTATCACCCGTGATTTTACGCTTTAGTAGTAAAATGTTTAAGTGTAATTTTCTAGATTTCTTATATTTATGACGTCAGCTTAATTTTTGTAAGAATTGCAGAATTGGTCAGATGACTTATGACAGTGTATAAGTGTTTTGTCGTACACTATTAAAAAAGTGTTGAATTGCTCGTTGCATAGTAGCACCATCTGGACATCGTAAGAGTCCTAGCTTTCAGAACAGAATTTCTCTGGCGTGGATGCGTAATGTAATTTAAAATATGTCGCACTTACTTGTGGAGATGGGGCCACACCTTGCCTCATTTTTGAAAGTACACAACTTGTTGATATCGTCAAAATAAAGCCCTGATGGACATCTGTTGAGATATGGAAATCCATCCACGCACTGCAATGCAAACAAGAAGGAGGTAGGAATGAGGGCAGCTGACTCGAATGTTAAACGGGAATACTTGAAACTTGTTTATAGTGCCGATAGCAAATACGGTTAGCGACAGTGATCATGTGTGAGACATACTAGCAGTTGAAAAGACTATTTATAATAGTCTTTTCTCCTCTGCTCAGAACAATCCCCGAACAGGTTTAATTTTAACTATCACGACGTGGGACATTTGAAATGGTCATATACAGCAGATGATCGCTCTAGAAAAAATTGTTTTTTAATTATGAAATGCGTTAATTTTATAAGTGGAAAGAGATGACGCTGATATTTTGTTAATTACTGGAACCATCCTCTGCTCTCCCTTAAAACTCTGAGAATCGAAGATCACGAAAACAGATTTAATTAATTGTAAATTAATTAAAGGTGTGGTCAGTTTGAAGCATCGATTTTGTCAGGAGTGTTAACTTTACCTGATAAAATCTCCTACACGTTGCAGGATCAGCAAAATTTCCATTTCCAGCGCCTTCTGGACAAATAAATTCCTTTTCGTCTGGTTTCTTCTGTTGGCTTCCAACTGAAATACAAAAACGTAACTTTTTAATGTGCAGGAAGAATAAGAAACGTAGAAACGCAGTGATTAACTGTTTGTTACAATCTTTTAACATCTTACTTTGTTCTGGATTTATGGTTCCTTCTGCCTCCATCATCAGGGCAGTGGAGGCAAAACCATCTTCTATTTTTTTGTTTTTAAATGCGGTGGATAGCCTGTTTTTTGTGCTCAAAGGCAAAAACCAACTTCTAATTTTTTGTTTTGAAAGGCGGTGGATAGCCTGTTTTTTGTGCTCAGGTCTTGCGTGTTTATTTCTTAATTTTTCATGGATGGGAAATATATTAAATGATATGCTCTCTCCTTATTGCATTAGTCACATTTGTAAGGTAAATATGTGTTTCGTATCTTATGTTACAGCTGTACCCACTTTTTCGCACAAGCTTTGTTACTTTAATTCTGTTTTATTGACTTTCTGTTAATAACCAGAATTACATTTTGCTTTTGAAGTGTAGGAACTCGTTACAGTGACCACGCCCTGTATTCGTATATTAAGTAAATAATTCTGATTTTGAAACCGTGAAGTGCTGAACTTGTCGCGAAAAAAATTTCTCTGACAAAATGGAATTTAATTATACGTAGCTGGTTTTACAAGTCTTTAACATGTCCTAGAAAAGAGAGTTCATTCTTCCATCAGGCAGTTTACAAACCTAGCTCTCTAGGTCAGGGGCACAACCATTAAGCGTGGACAGAAAGCAAGACGTCAGACAACATTTTGACTGATCGACCATGTCGAACAAAGATTACAGGCTTTTAGACAGAATGTTCTAATATGTGGACTGATACAGAGAAATCTGCCCTTTAGAGGAAAGTTAGATCCTGAGGGTCTCAATTAAAATCCGAGGAACTCCGTGGTTTTAGATGCGTAACAATTTTGAAAATTATAACTCCCTTTCTGTCACTCAGTAATGTAGCAAAGAAGTGACGTGGTTTTATTCTCTGATAGACAGCGACTGGTCTGTGTAATTTAAAAACGTTTAGTGCATTTCATGTTCATTTTTATTATTTTATTACGAAGAAATTAAAAGCTGATTAGATTTAGAAATTCTTGCTACCATTAGTTCAGAATATTTCCATAACCTAACCTAACCTAACCTTACTTAACCTAACCTAACCTAACCTTACCTAACCTCTTCTACCTAAAAATCTAAAATGTTAAAGATACAAAGCTATAATTTGTACCAGGAGTTTCGTGTTGGCGTAAAACTTTTATTGTTTGTTTTTTTACCCTGTGAGAAGACGGGGCAACTGGGGATGGGGTGCTAAGGAGAATATTTGGACCCGAGGGTACAAATAGCACACAATGAAGTGCTCCAAATTTTGCGATCTTCGCCAAATGTTACCGCGGCTGTCAAACTGTAGCGGGCGAGATTAGAATTTCATTCAAAATGTATTCAGAAAACACTTAAGATACACACGTAGAGAGTCAGAGAACCATTTTTTCGCCGATCTTATAGCAAAAGTGAGTAGTTTCTTTCAAGGGAAGGAAAAAATTTTACACATCTGCAATTCCCACAACATTCACGTAATACTTACTACCCTTAACCCTTTGAAGCCGAAGATCGTCTTCATAATATTTACGAATCCAGACCGTACCGCGAAGAAAACACTTCACTTAACCATTAGAAGTCGAATCAGGCGGTACCACATAAGATTTAACAAAAGAACATCCCGGTCGAAGCCTTAATGCTACCTAACCTTGTCCAAAGTAAATCAGTGAAGTGTTAAGTATTTCAGTTCCAACAATTTCTGATTTTAAAGGTTCCAAAACAGATTTTTGATATTTTAAGTAGGACAGAAATTCCTGACGCTACGTAATCAATCTTTTTTTTTTTTTGGTGAGCTGGTGATACGAGATAATTGAATGCGCGTATTTTGTTATAAGCCTGCTGGTAACGTAACTTCCTGTGTAGAAGCTCGTAGTCTGCCTATAATCCATACGGTGTCACGATGCTTCAATAGTTGCTCTGGAACACCCAAGTGAATGTAGGTGAAAGTTTATTGACTTGTGTCGAACGTGTTTTGTTTGAGAGCAACTGTTACGGTGTTGTGATATCATAATGAGGCTACATGGATGATGTGCCTCGCATTTAATATTCATTGGTGCATTTGGGATTTGTGGTGGGGCAAGTTCCCTCATTTAAGTTCCTGTTTCTTCGTTATCGTGTTGTCAATCACTGGTCGGCATCTCTACCTTCGTTATTAAGTAACTTATAAACACATTACACGAAGTTTACTGAAATTAATTCATGTCAGGTTTTTGGCTAAGAGAAAAGGATAAATTAGAAGCCAAGACTGACTTAATTAGCTAAAAAAATGGCATATAGATTGAATGATTCTGGGATATTGTACCGTATAAACATTTGCCTACGAGAAGTAATATATTTAATTTGTTTATGAATTATTTAATAATATTCTGTTAATGGCCATGCAGTTATTTAGAGTAACTGTGAACGTAGTCACAGACATTTGACTTGGGATGGTCGTCAAGCTGAGGTCCATCTGCGGGGTATGAACCTTGACCTACCATGTTGAAGTTGTTTCAGACTGATAGGACTCTTACACGAGTCATTAGGTCCGGGGTGCCACGCCCTGGGTTAGTACCACACTCGTTACGATGTACGTGTGTGACGTGACGTGGCAAATTACCAAGAAAGTCCCGGTAAAACCTGTTTGATACGATTGGGTAAGCTCTGTCTCTCAGTGGCCACTTTACTTGAATTCGTATTAGCAGTTCATCAGCCAAGAAGATCATAGAACTCGATCGGATAATTTCTCTGTACGTTTGCTTCCATTGTTTGAGAGAAACGACTGAATTTCTCATTATTAGTAGGCTAATGACTTGTAGGCTCGTAATGGAGCGTCGTCGGATCAGAATGCAGCACATGAATTGGTAACGCACGTGTCTGGGGGGGGAAGAACTGGGTTCTCCTGACCTGAAATGAGGTGTCTGCTGCCAAAAAGCTAGTTCCGCACCTTCTATGTTGTCTGACTAATAACGGCGCTACCCAAAGGGAAATCCAAATCCCATCTCTTCCATTCTGTTGTAATTTGTTTGTCGTGGGTTCTTAACATCCACATCCTCGTCCAAAGAGCCCTGGTTACATTTCGTAGGATTCGTAGTTTCAGAATGTATTACGAATTCCACGTTGTCAGAGTCTAATTGTCAAATCTAAACAATAATGGAACAATGGTGATTTAAATACAGTTCCATTGTTCTTAAATCTGTTCCATTGTTCTTAAATCTGTTCCATTGTTCTTAAATATGTTCCATTGTTCCTAAATCTGTTCCATTGTTCTTAAATCTGTTCCATTGTTCTTAAATCTGTTCCATTGTTCTTAAATATGTTCCATTGTTTAATATTCTGAAACACTGTTTTCGGAATCTGACGCTGTTACCGTTTTCGTGTGAAAATGTCTACACTGTTTCAACGTAAGAAGCTGAGACCAATCTCTGATCAAGGGATTTTGTGAACACGGTAATGAACCTTTTTAAGCTCCGCGGAAGGAAATTCGCTGAGCCCAAGACACAACATTCTCGCTGTAAGTGGGATGTACGGGTTGATGACCCCTGTCTGATTTGCTGGGAAGTTTCTGCTACAGCAAATGGGAGGTAAATTTTTTCTTTTTCCTTTTTTTGTTACCGCGGCGTCTTTAAGTTTGTTGTTGGTAACTTTCTCGGCAAACATCTCGCCAGTTCCGTTTTCTCTGTTTTCCAATCCAACGGCACACGAACAACACTGATGGTTCAGTGGCGGATCGCAAAACTTTTCGTTTTGTTTTGTAACCAATGAACAGTGGGGCCAAGAAAAAGGTCGAAGGTCCTTTTCAGAAGTTCTTGCTGCCTCCATCAGGGCAGAGGCAACAAGTACCTCTGAAACGTCGATAAACTTCCCCCAGGTTACAACAACCCCAAAGACTGTCATCATCAGTCCAGTAGGACTGACTGAAGAGTCTGTCGTCCCTAAAATAATTGGAAATTGCAACAATAAAACATTTGTGAACACTTTTCTGCGCAGTCGCGCGTTGTCATGTTTCTGCAGTGTTGATGGCAGAATCTTTGTAAGCGGAAGTCTCGTGTCACAGTGGATAAAGGTAAATGCAGCCCCTGTGCATAGGCACCACGCCATTAAGCTCTAACGAGATTGAAAGTGTGTACTCATCAGAGTACACTTAGATTTCTTTACGCCAATTTGCGGGCCATGACATCAGAAAGCTGACCAAGGGAACAACGGAGCAGTAATTATATCAGACTCGACAGTTGCATCCAAGGTCATTGTAACAGTGAAATGGAAGGCACGGACAACCCGTAAGACGTTCTTCGGAAAGCTCAGAAGGGCGTTTGAAGGACGTGACTTCTGCATCGCGTACGCAGTGTGTACATAATATATAAATATTCAGTCCGTACCGCGAAGAAAACACACCACTTCACCATTGCAATGATCAACTGGTTAACGCTGTTTAAGGAAATAATCGCTGTTTATAATGAGACACGCAGTGTGTACATAATATATAAATATTCAGTCCGTACCGCGAAGAAAACACACCACTTCACCATTGCAATGATCAACTGGTTAACGCTGTTTAAGGAAGTAATCGCAGTTTATACAGAGACGCGTACGAAACACACAAATAAAAAATGCAGAGTTATTGTTTGTAAAAAAAATATGTGGTGCACATAATTACCACTGGGCTGTAAAGAGGAATTTGTCTCAGTTTTTCACCTGTTAGAAATCCGCACCACAAAAAAGTCAGGATTGCCATTGTCAGGGGCCGAGATTTGAACCCAGAACGCAGGAGTTCCCGTACCACAGACAAGAGGTAATGCCCGGCATAATTGTGGCTTCCTAATGGAGACAGCACCTTGCTTCTAGTGGCCAGCTGACTCTGGAATTTTTGTTGAAATGCGTCGTGAATTGACTGCTCCTGGCGTGTGTAGGATCGTCTCAGGGCAGAGAGAGTAGACAGAATTTTAAAACGCTTTTGGTGTCAAGGACCCACTGACTCAAGTCAATTCTAATTACGCTCCATCCATCTTAAAGCAGTCGCGTCTATCACGTGACATGAATGAACACTCCCCTTCGTCAACGAGGTTAAATCCGCAACAGATTCTCCCCCAAACACGCGTTTCCGTTGCCCCTGTTGGCAGGAAGTTTCCTCAGGACGAAATTTGAGGACGGTCGTGAAATAAGTTTTACATCGGTATGTGTGTCGTTGCTCCACTAAAACGCGTCTGTGCTTCGGAGGTAGCCTACATCAGGGGTCGCTAAAGTTTTATCGGCGACTGCAGACGAGGACACAGTATTGAACTACGGAAGAAATACTTGTTGAACAGGTTTGTACCTTGCGTTCTCATACCGAGACATTACCGAGAACATTTGTTTTTTGCTGACTGGATCACAGAACAAAAAATAAAACAGCTTGTCGAAGGAACAAGTTCCAATTGTTGAAACGCAAACCTTCGAATTCGTGTGACATCTGAGCATTTAAAAGTTGCACCGCGTTCTTTTGTATCAGTGACTGATGATTATCTTTATCTAGGATGATAACATGTCCCGTGGATGTCCGTGTCATCATCGATTCGTGATTCTGTGCGCTAAGTGACATTGAACAAATTGGCTTCTGTCTGAAGCCGATAAATGTGAATTTAAGTAGCTCTCGGATTAATCCAGAAGAAAACGTTTCGGCCTCAACACAACACAATTCAGCCCGTACCGCGAAGAAAACACAACACTTCACGATTACGAAGATCGACTGGTTAACGCTGTTTAAGGAAATAATCGGTTTTTTCTCAGAATCACGCAACCTATAAATACACTCTGTGGGTGAAATGTGGCGTTATTGATTATTAAAATAGGTGGTATACATAATTACCATTGTTCTCGGATGGAGACAGCGGGTCTCCGGAACGTTCGTTTTAAACAACATTGATTTCCCGATTTATTCGTCGTCAGAACATTTTTTTTTTCATAATTCTCTGTTATCAGACACGATACTGACGCAGAACCAATTCATAAACCCTCATAACGTATTTATATATAAGATCCGTTTTAATATTATAGTCTTGGTTTCTCAAATTGCTGCCCACACAGATTATTCTGCACATTTGTTTAATTTTCGGGTTACATTCGTAGTCCATTGTACTCATTTATCTCTAAACCAATAAGTTTTTAACTGTGCATTGTTGTCAGTTCTGCAATGGATCACGTAGTTTTCTAGGCGTTTTGTTTTAAAATGTTTGTGATTTATGTTTCTTCGAGAGTGCAGTGTTGAATCTTGAGAAGCGGATATGCTGGATTGTTTGTTGGCTCGTTGCGAAACATCTTCGCTGTTGGCAAGGTTACAGCAGGCTTACCACACTTCGTGAAACGACATTCTCGTGTCTCACCTCGAAATGTGCAGTGAATGCAACTGGCAAGTCCTCTAGAAGAACCATTGCAGACTTGCTGTGTGGCCCAGGTTAACATTAATGATAACCAGCGATTTATATGTGTAAAGATTCGAATCCGCCACTGATGCTAGTTGCTTTTAGTAAGAGAGAAAGTGTCCGTTTGTCTCCTTGTCTCGTATTTAAATATCTTTCTTCGTTTGCTTCTCACCTGCGTGATCATTATACCATGTCTAGGGGTGTACAAAAGCAGACCAGATTTGGAACGAGGTCCCGAGGTATGAGGAAAGGATTATCTCTGTAACCGAAAAAAAAAACTAACAGAGCGGATTGGCTGACACATGCAGAAAGGGCGAAGGACAAACATATTACCTGAACGGAAGACGGGATGTAGGTAGACCCAGAAAACGACGGATTGAAACCGGAACGCTGTGCGAAGTTAAATTACGCGATTTATGAACGAACAAACGAAGTATGCCCGAAGGATGACTTGAAACTCATTTCGGGTAAAATGCCGCGTTATTAAATTCAAATAGACCACGACCGCTTCATTCGCCAAAATTGTATTAATCGTATTTCCATTCGCCATGCGTAAACTTGGTGGTTGGTACAACTTCGAGGACGAATATTTTACATATTGTGGGGGTAGGGGGAGTGGAGGTATAGCTCCACTGATTCTTAACCTCAGAACTAATAAAAGGTGAGTGGCCAGCGTCTGTGGAAAACAAAAATATTGTCTGTGCGAGAGTCGAACCCTGGTCATCCAGCCCGTAACACGCTCTGACTGATGATTTGCTCTGTCAGTTGTATGGATGTTAATGTCGCGTGAACTGAGACTTTTTTTCTGACTTTGATTAAATCTCTTAAAATTCGTAGGACAGTCTATAAACATTTCAGGTCACTAAGCAAACCACGTCATTGTGTTTTGTGTGATTCCCACTGCAAACGGCTGTTATAGCTTTAACCAGTCGATCTTCGTAACGGTGAAGTGTTTTCTTTCGCGTACGGGCTGAATTCTTAAATACTATTCGGAAGAACGTCCCCTTTAAGCGGTTAAGAATTTGGCTAATTCTCATCTAAATGGCAAGTTTCTTTTATTATTCTGACTGTGTAGCCTGAGCATGAGTAGTAGTTGATTCGGAGTCGTTTAAATATCCATTGCAAATTAACAGGTACGAAATTTGTGTGACGTTGCAGAAGGCCTCTTATCCAGTTGCTCACGATGTCCTTTTGTGATTAAACCGATTCACTTTCACGAGACACGCCCCGCCTTTGTCAAGGTCGTCTTTTAATTTCATCCAGTTCTGTAAACTTGTTTAAGCGACAACAATGAAGTACGTGTCTTCAAAATGCCCAGTAGCTGTGGGCATTACAAAACAGGCTGAATGCGAAGCGACATTCTTAGCCTGGGCTTTTCGTAAAAACAAACTGTACTGAAATTACACGCTCATTGTAGCAACGTCATAAATAAACATATCATAAAATCTTACCTAAAAGGCTGTCCAAGGAGCTTGGGGGACACAGTTGAAGATATGAGGATAATATTAAAACGCGTATCTAAGAAATATGACATGAGAATGTGAACTGGATTCATCTGTTCCAGGACAGAAGGCGAATTCACAAAGTACCACGGATAATACGCGCTTTGATATGTAGGTCAGTTTGTTTTCTCGATAACTTAATAGCGCCACTGAATGCTGGTCTTTTGCAGCTGCTAAAGATCTTTGATGCTTTATTCAGTACGACTAATTGTGTTATCATTGCCATATGCGAGAGAAAGAGAAAGGCAGTTTCTTAGATTCACTTTCCATATGGCGGGTAAGCAAGGAGTCGCCACGGTAGTTATGGAATTATATGAGAACTTTCTTCGTTGCCTTTACGCGAACAAAGTCTGAGGATTTGTCCCAAGTTGAAGACGGTCTATGAATTGTGTTCTTTTGTAGCTTCGAATGAGATGAGAAGGTTATTATGTGTTTTGAGATTCGAACCGGGTACTTCTAAATACAAGTCAGAAGACCTGCCATTGTTCTATCCTGTGCGGTGAGTCGCTAGTTTTGAAATTATTTAAAGTGTATGAAATTTCTAAAAGGCAGTTGGACAAATGAAATGATTTAAGTCTGCTGTAGGCCTGGAGGCATTCATGTACTCGTTTACAAATGTTCATACTGGATTTAAAAGCATCTACACTTTCAATCGCGGGTGCCATCTGTATCAAAAAGTTTGATTTTAATTGTTGGCCTTCTGTTAAATTCATTGTTAAGGGTTCAAATATAATTTAGAGTATAAAACTGAAGCAGTTGGAAGGGGGGGGCAGCCTGTCAAAGTATACACGGTGTCACGAAAATCAGTGTTTCCAAGACGAATTCCATTGTTGATTACGACGTGCTGTTGAAATAGTTCGATTGTAGTACGTATTTGGCGAGTGGGTGCGTTTCGTAAACTCAAAAATAAGAATCACATTTCAGTTTAGAGCTGTTGAGCTTTTATGAAGAAAGGAGTGTTTGGAAATCATTGCCCGTGCGGGAAAGCTTGTGGTATCGTTTCTTTTTAACACGTTGCCAGCCAGCACAATGTAATAAATAATCTCTCTCGCAGAATAATGTAATTATAGTTGTAACAATGAAACTCATACTGACCGAACAAAATAACCAGAAATACATTAAATGATATAAAAGACGTATCACTTACCTGTTAGGAAAACTGCCAGTAAAATCATACATCTTCCTTGCGTCCTATAAAACGTCATGATTAACCTTTTCTTTGTCAAAGGGTTGTAATTAAGAGGGGGAAGGGTGTAGAGGGGGCCCCGGTAACACCACGGGGAACTTACACGACACTGTTCACTCACAAAACTTGCCGAGGTGTTGTTAGGAGCCGCTCTGAGACGTCACTGGTCGGCTCACTTGGAAGGTTTTACCTGCGACAGCTTCCACCGAGTTTCACTTCTTGTAGGTGCAGAGAAGGGGAATGCAAGGCTACACGGGACAGACAGAAATGCTTTAGAGCAAGTTAGAAAGCAAAAAAAAAAATAATCCGGCAATGATTTTCAGAACAGCCAACATTATCAGTCGAAATTACCTGCACTGGGGCCAAAACGGGAAATAATTTTGAATAACAAGTTGTGCAGAAGTAATGTAGATGGCTGTCTTCTGGGTCGCAGCGCCGTGTAGTCTGGAAGAAGTTCACCATCGTTTCAGAGGTCCTTTTCTGCCTCCATCATCAGGTCGACATCGCCAAGAAGACAGCCATATTCGGAATCACAGTTTATGACATTCATCAGAGTCACAATCTGGTTATTAAATGCTCACAGGCGATGAAGATAGGAATAGTTTGCTTAGTGACGAGCGTGGCCACGTGTAAAGAAATCACTTCGGTAATTTAAAAAATTGCGATAAAACATTCACTACAATCAGTTGTACTGATTTGCATTATTCATAAATTCTGCCCCACTATACGCCAAGCAGGCGCTTGGGGGGGGAGAGGATGCGCTTTACCCCCCGGGAAATACCCCGAGTGCCCATTGGATAGGAGGCTGGGTGGGCCCCAGAGGAGATCGAACCCCGGTCGTCCAGTCCGAAGCCTTACCTTTACCTTCCGCTTTATTCGTCGTCTTTTGTTATTAAGGTTTTGTCTTGTATCGCCGTTGAAGTGATTTGTTGATCTGGTATCAACTTCTGACGGCGTCTTTGAACAACATGGCGTTACGTAAATGAATTCAGAAAATCGTGAAGGAAAAGGAAGATGGTAGGAACTGGAAATGTTACTTGTACGTCTTTATTAACAAATACAAAAAAAAAAAATTGTCATCACATGAGGACTTCACTTAAGTCCGAGAAATATAAAAGGAAAATACGACAGAAATTAATAATCTCGCGCTGAAACTTTCTAGCTTTCAGAAATGACTGCCATCTTAAGAGTCAGGATCTGAAAGAAAGAGAAAATCCACTGAAATCATTCGTACGCCATTTTGACTCACTCACATTACTTAAGTGACAGAGAACTGAAGTAATGTTTCTTTATTGACTAAATGGGCAAAGTTAACATTTAAATACGTACCATTTTATAACCGCACAATTTCAGGGACGATCAGCGTACTTTAAAAAAAAAATCCTTTAGATTAAAAACAATTTCGTTAAATAATTTTACCTTGGTATCGGTGTTGAAGCTTGCCGAGCACTTGTCCTGGTCTACCGAGTACGGTATGAACGCATCAAGTTGGTAGCCCTGCTGGCCGACGCGTCCGGGACTGTCCAGTACAATTCTGTCTTCTCCGACGTCCAGCGTTACGTCGCGGCTATTTGTCTGTTACAAAAACAATTGACAGATGACGACTGAAATGCTCCGGCGAATTTATAATTCAAAAGTCCCACAAAATCTATAAAAAAAAATGAATGGTTTCTTGTGTTCTCGTGATTTAACGCAGATCGTCGAAAGGCGTCAGAATGATTAAGACTCTTTTTTTTTCAGTAGATATGCAACTTTTTATGTTTTCCGTCAAATCACAATTTTAATAAGATAATAAAATATAAAATATTTAAAATATCATTTCACGTGAAATAATCCTAGAATGACAAACGTCAGTCGCACACTGTGACTTCCTTTCTAAATTTCAACTCGTTACCCCCGAATGTCGAGCGTCCTTAACAGGGTTTACGACGTACCACGTCCTTCATAAAGAACTCTGCCACCAAATATTCAGGGGGCTCGGATCGAGGCGGTTCCCGTCGGATCCTGTACCGCGGCTGACGACTGGACGTGTGTACGGGAGGTGTCATCTCCTGGATGAGGGGGCCCGCCGGCTTCCTTGATCCTGTCTGCCTCACGCGATGAGGCAGGAGACAACCCATTACCTTCCGGTTCTTCAAAATTACATAATCTGTAACAGAATCATTCCATCCAGTGGCGTCGCATTGTCTCCGCTCCGATCGCTTTTAGAGTAGCAGTCGACGTACGTAGTTCAGATTTCATCATTTTTAATGGTCAATGAAGCTCGGAGTTATTATTTACTGGCCAAAAATATTAGTGTCCGTAGGAGACGCAAAATTTTCTTAAAACTTCAAAACTCAAAAATCTTTTTACCTTCTGTTGCAAGATGAAGACCGTACTTGTCCATTAATCCTTCCATGACGACAGTAAGTAGAAAAGTGAGAAATAATTTACTATTTTCTGTTTTCTTGTAGAACTCGGGGTTAATGGCCACGTCGTAGGCGACTGTGGGATTCCCCGCTGAAACGATAAATAATCAGATATCAATGGAAAATATTTCGCTGCTCAATTCTCGGTTCTCTCGAGGATTCAGGAATTCGTCGACCCTCGTAACTGCTCGCGTGTCATCCGTTTTATTCCGTAATCGCCAGAACGCTTAAGAAATATTTCCCTTGGTTTCCGGATGAAGCCGGAAGGAAGTCTAATGGTCTTGAAACAAAACAATATTTTTGTAAGTACATATTCAGATTTATACTTCTAGAAAAGAACAGAGAGGGTTTGGGGAAAACCATGTTTGTTCGGTGCGTAGGCTGCTTTTTTTTTAAGATTTCATATTCTCGTGGCAATCCAAATACACGACACAACCGTAAAGAAAATAATCCTAGAATGACAAACGTCAGTCGCACACTGTGACTTCCTTTCTAAATTTCAACTCGTTACCCCCGAATGTCGAGCGTCCTTAACAGGGTTTACGACGTACCACGTCCTTCATAAAGAACTCTGCCACCAAATATTCAGGGGGCTCGGATCGAGGCGGTTCCCGTCGGATCCTGTACCGCGGCTGACGACTGGACGTGTGTACGGGAGGTGTCATCTCCTGGATGAGGGGGCCCGCCGGCTTCCTTGATCCTGTCTGCCTCACGCGATGAGGCAGGAGACAACCCATTACCTTCCGGTTCTTCAAAATTACATAATCTGTAACAGAATCATTCCATCCAGTGGCGTCGCATTGTCTCCGCTCCGATCGCTTTTAGAGTAGCAGTCGACGTACGTAGTTCAGATTTCATCATTTTTAATGGTCAATGAAGCTCGGAGTTATTATTTACTGGCCAAAAATATTAGTGTCCGTAGGAGACGCAAAATTTTCTTAAAACTTCAAAACTCAAAAATCTTTTTACCTTCTGTTGCAAGATGAAGACCGTACTTGTCCATTAATCCTTCCATGACGACAGTAAGTAGAAAAGTGAGAAATAATTTACTATTTTCTGTTTTCTTGTAGAACTCGGGGTTAATGGCCACGTCGTAGGCGACTGTGGGATTCCCCGCTGAAACGATAAATAATCAGATATCAATGGAAAATATTTCGCTGCTCAATTCTCGGTTCTCTCGAGGATTCAGGAATTCGTCGACCCTCGTAACTGCTCGCGTGTCATCCGTTTTATTCCGTAATCGCCAGAACGCTTAAGAAATATTTCCCTTGGTTTCCGGATGAAGCCGGAAGGAAGTCTAATGGTCTTGAAACAAAACAATATTTTTGTAAGTACATATTCAGATTTATACTTCTAGAAAAGAACAGAGAGGGTTTGGGGAAAACCATGTTTGTTCGGTGCGTAGGCTGCTTTTTTTTTAAGATTTCATATTCTCGTGGCAATCCAAATACACGACACAACCGTAAAGAAAATTAACTTGAAAATTACGTACGTTTTTACAATTGATTTGTCTTCCGCTGTACACATTTAATGAAACAGAGTCCCGATTCAGAAGCCGACAGTCCCTGAACTAGTCGAGAAATTCCATGCATTTCATGGAACCCAAAGATTTACTACAAGAACCCACCACGATCCATATCGATCCAGTCCATGATCTACAACA